GCGGCCGCGGAGAGAAGCGCGGGGAGATGTCGGAAGCGACGGTATTCGCCCAGTGGATTTGCGCGCGCGATTTCCGGCGTCAGCCGCATGCGTTTCACGTCAGGCTTGTCGCGTACATCGAGTCGCAGGACGTGTTCCACTGGAAGCATCTGGCAGACGTCGATGCCGACTTCAGTCAGCATCAATCATCACCACGCAGCAGCGAAGTCGCGACGAGGCGGCACGCCCGCGGGCCGCTAGACGCCGCGCGCGGTGGCCGCGCGCAGGGCCCTCAATGGAGCAGAAGTACAGAGGGGCATGCCGGCTCTCGAGCGGTCGGTGCAAGCGTTGCAACGAAGCAGAAGCAGCGCCGCCCGCGCGCCCCCTGGCCGCCGGAGCCCTGGCGGCGCACGTTGAGAGGCAGGGTCGCCCGGGGCCGCGTCCTCCCCCCAGCCCTCCGCCTGCTGGCTTCGGCGCAAGCGTCGCAGTGCGCCCGCGGCCTCCGCGGGGCCGCCACCAGGCCGGCGGCCGAGGCCAGGGGGCGCGGCCGGGGCAGCGGCGCCGGAGCAACTGCACGCAACGTTGCGCCCCGGCGACGCAGGCGGCGATCCGGCGGCGGGTTGGCGAGCGCGAGGCGCGGTCGAGGCCGTCGTCGACGTTGTTTCGCGCGCAAACCAGTAGGCCGCGCCCAGCGATGGGCCTCGGCGCGCCCTCGACGGCGCCGCGGTAACGAGCGCGCCTGAACGACGGCGCTTCGCCACGACGGCGCGCCTGGACGCGGAGCTTGGCAGTTGTCCGCGGCCGGCGCCGTGCTGGGCATCCGCAGCGCGTTGGCGGTTACACTTCTCCAGTGCGCCCTTGGGCGGGAATCCCCTTTTCCCATCAGCGCGGAGGACCTCCAGATCGCCGGCGCGCCGTTCCGCGCGAGCGACACATTCGCAAATTGCTGCGGGCGCCGGCGCACGACATCCGAGCTATCAAAGGCGTCGACGGCAGCCTTCGGCGATCGATCCGCGATGCGCGCGCGATTGGGCATCGCGAAGAAGTGCCCGGCGAACCCGAGTCAAGCGCTTCGCACAGCACGCCCGCCAGTCCAGAGTCGTCGAAGCGAGCATCTCGGGCCCGGCGGCCGCGCCAGTCAGAAGGGGCGCCGCAATGCCCATGTGTTTCGGGCATGCGTTTCTGTTGCGCCCACCAAGCGATGGCTCGGAATTCAACGAGCAGCACGGGACGTCTGTGCGCCTCTCAGAAGAGGCGTTAGGTTTGCGTTCGCAGCGGCGCAAGACTTCGGAACGACCCGTTACAATTTGGCGCGAGCGTTGGCGCCGCACTGAGGGCGGCAAAGGCACGTGCCCAGCGCACGTCGTCGGTGCATTCTTCGAGAAAGCTGGCGTTGCCACGCAAGCCTTCGCGCCCCTCCCCCGCCGACGCCGCGGCCGCCATTCGGATTGCGGCCAGGGCGGCGGGCGTAGCGCGCCCACGAGAATTCGACGCAAAGGCGCCACGTCGCGGGCACGCGCTCGACTTAGTGGAGCGCGGGGCCAGACCGGCCGAAATACTTCGCGCGGGCGGCTGGCGCAGCGCTGCCTTCATAGAGCATCTGCCAGCTGAATCGCTCGAGCAGGGCGCCGCTCTCGAGGCCGGAGTCACTTGCTCTTCCGACAGCGATGCGCGAAAAAAATGCCCGGGCCCCACGCCGGGTGGAGCGCGCGCGCTCGCTCTCCGGCGGCGCGCGGCGCAGTGGGTCTGCGCCCGCGCGCACGCGACGCGCGCGGCTGGGCCCCCGTCGAGCGCCCGGCGCCCCGAGACAGCGGGCGTTCGCACTGGGTGCTCGGCTAGGCCAGCGACGCAGGCTGCGCCCGAGCCACCGTCGGCTCGGGGCACCGCCGCGCACGGCCCTGGTCGAGCACCGCACCCATCGCCGCGGTGCGACTCGCCGAGCCGCTCGGCGTCCGCGCCATGGTTGCGCGGCGGGCGGTCGTCGCGCAACGTTGATCGCGGGCGCGAAACAGCGGGGCGGGCGCCCCCCCACCCAAGCCCCCACGCACGGGCGAAAAGGAAAAGGGGGGCGCCGCGCGGCGCGCAGCGGCGCGGGGCAACGCATGCCAAAGCGATGGGCGCGAGGCGTCGCGCAATCCGCCCTGATTGCATGGGCGAGCGCGCGAGGGGGCGCGCGCGCCGCCCGGGGTTGGGAGGGGCGCCGCGCGCGACGGGTTGGGGGGGGGCCCGCCACGCGCGGCGAGGAGGCACCTGCGGCGCGGCTTTTGCCCGCCCACCGCCCCCCTGGTGGCCATTCGGCTCGGGGCGCTCGCACTGGGCGCTCGGCTAGGCCAGCGACGCAGGCGGCGCCCGAGCCACCGTCGGCTCGGGGCACCGCCGCGCGCGGCCACGGTCGAGCGCCGCACCCATCGTCGCGGCGCGACTCGCCGAGCCGCTTGGCGTCCGCACCAGAGTTTTGCGCTGGATGTCCGAATCGGTTTGAACCCAATGCATCGACGGACCCCTGCCCCCCCTATCGCCTAGGGGGCATTCACGACGAAAACGTCGTGTACTATGGCAGATATCGCATTCCAGGGTTTTCCCATTGGCGTCCTTCGGGCTACCCCGGCGCCCCTCACCCTTCCCTCAGGTGCGCCCACGGCCTCTGCCTGTCCCCTAGAAAATTCCTTCGCGCTGTGGCCCCGCAAGGGAGGCTAAAAAAAATCCCACAGACCTCTGCCATGTAATCGCCGTCGTGCGCCTTGACCATCACCCCTACCCTTGCCTGGCCTAAATGCCCGTCGGGCCGCGCGACGTACCTTACAAACTGGTTGCTTGATAAAGCGTCTCCATCGGCGTCTGTGCTTCTTGTATCCTAGGAATAACCACTGCGCCGGTTGCTCTTCAGTGAGATACACAGACATGTCGGAGTAATCCAGGGCACAAATCCCCTCATCTGATGAGGTGCCGGTGTCACTTCCAGAGTCAAATCCAGACTCGGCGGGTTGCCCCGCAGAGCCTACAAGGGTAGTGGCTTGGGCAGGGGCCGCCGTTGCCGACGGCCCCTGATAGCGAGCCCAGGAATCTTGAGGCCCCGTAGGCTGGCCACCTTGTTGGCTTAATAAGGTGGTGGTCTCACTTGGTTGTGGATCGTCGTTCCAGACGTTGTTAGCAGGTTGCCCTGCGTAAGTGTTGGTATGAAAGGTTTCGGCACGATGACCGCGGCTTAATATACCACCAGTGTTGCCAAGGGTTCGCTCGGCAATGTGGGGCATAAGACCTGATGCGATCGAATAGAAAGTCAAGCTGTTGCTGGGTCCTTGGCATGTGGTGGCTTAGTGTTGTAGTAGTTGCTGCGCACGCGATGCACCAACACCCAGAGCTATCTGGAATTGGGAACATTGAAGCCTGTAGTCTCGGCCTCAAGGCATGCGATCTCGAAGCGTGCGAACGCATGGTCGATCCGATCTCCCGCATGGACGCGAAAATCGATGAGAGCCGTTCCCGAATTACGTTGGCGTTCCTTCTCTAGATGTTCGAATTTCGTGCTGAGGAGGAACATGATGTAGGAGACGCCGTCGGTGTGGCGACCACCGATATTCACGCTAAAGTTAATGATTGCGGAAGGTACTATCACGGCGATGGTCCTTGAGAGCCCTCCAAGACCACGCTGTAATGATGTTTGTTTCTTCATCGGGGTCACGTCGCCTGTAGCCACGTTGATCCAGGCGTGTACCTCGCGAGCGAGGACGCGGAAAGATACGTTACCGGTAGGGTCACAGTGGGGGCCGGCAGTACACGCGTCGGCTCCGCCACGCTGCACGTGCCCAACAGCGCACCCGATAGCGACACATAGCAAGCCAAATAAGGCAATACAAATCCAATGGCCCCTTAGGTCGCGGTCGGATGTTTGCGGCTGCGGGTTGTGATGTCGTTAGCCTGCGTGGGGGTTGAGGCGGCACAATATCGCATCGCATGTTGCCATGCATCGTGTCTTCAAAAAACTTGCCAATTTGAGTAGAAAGGTGGACTTCAGGAGGTTAGTAGCGCAGAGAGGTAGGACTCATGTAAGAAGCCTCCGCGAGAACGGAAGTAGCACTGCAAGTGTCCTTGCGGCTGTGCGAAGATATGTACATTCCTCCGCACTGACCCACTGAATCCTGATGTTCCACCATGTCAATAGTCCACCAGATATTTCCGCGGATGGTGAGGAGTAGAGTTAGGCCTGACCACCATAGGCCAGCTCCGCTACCAAGTTTGAAGGGGGCTGGGAGGCCCAACCATACGCTTCACCTAAAGCGAAGCCCATATCCAACTCTGTTGTACCGTAGTAAAGATAGTCTCAGAAGTAGGAGATCGTCGCGGGAGGGACGGGCCATGTCAAGCGAAGATGCTTTTGGTCTCAATGGCAAGTAGTGTCCCTCACGATGAGGCGCAGTCATATGTTGGCGGCCGGCCGCTTGAGCACAAACGGCCGGTTGACAAACGATCGCTATCTCTCGCATTTGCCCCAATCTCCTTCAGTGTGTGAGACCCTTGCCGCTCTTCAAACCCCCACCCCTGGGAAGCCAAGGCATGGGGCGCACAGAAGGGGCGGGGGAATGACCGGACGCGGTGCTGGAACGGTCTGGATGTCCCAAGAGCGTCCAATTGGCTACAAGATGTTGCCAAAATGGCCCGCAATGGCTTTCAAAATCGCGCAGAATGGTCAGACAGGGTTCCTGATGGCATCTAGCGTGCGTGCAAGAGGATCCAACAAGATCGCAAGAACCGCTAGGTGGCCAGGAAGCACCCGAACGGAATGCCCCCAAGCGGCCAACATCGCTCAAAAAGCTGAAATTGTATTCAATGAGTATGCCTCTCTGGCTCTCCTGCGTAAAATGCCTCCTTGAGCGCAACCGAAGACCCCAAGACGGCCCGAGAACGCCCCGCGGCGGGCCAAGAAGACCCCGAGAGAGCCACAAGACAACAAGACGGCCTCCAGAGAGGCCCAAGAGGGCCCAGTGCAGCCCTAAGACGACCTGGGAGGGCGCCAAGACCGCTCAAGGAAGACCCAAAAATACTTCAAGACGCGCCCAGACAACCGAAGAGAACCCAAGAAGCCCCCAAGAGAGCCCAATTCCCCACCCACCCACCCACCCACCCAAAGAAACGCCCCTCAAGAGGGTCCGTTTTGAGCACGGTTCCACATGAACGCAATGCACCGAGAGGCTTCTATGACAACGCACCCCAGACGGGAGGCATCCAGTGCACCCAAGGGGTCGGCGGTGTGGCGTGCGCATCTGGATCTTGCGCAGGTCGCAGTTGAGCTGCCCCGGGAAGCGCAGGCACGTGGTCACGCCGCTGATCGCCGCGCTCACCAGGTGGTTGAGGTCCCCGTAGGTCGGAGTGGTCAGCTTCAACGTGCGGAAGCAAATGTCGTACAGCGCCTGCCGAGGAGTATTTGGGGTGTAGCAAGCCAGAGATCTCGAAACTCTCTGACCTCAGTATATGCCTAGGCCCGCGCCGGTGGCTTGTTTGATGGCGCAAGCCTAAAGCCATGTGTCTGCGGTCTCCACTTTTCTCCTCTGCCTCTCCTCGTCCTGCTCCTCTCTCCTCGTCCTCCTCCTCCTCCGAGTAGTTGCGCAAACCGATAAGAAACGTCAAAACAAATCCACCGCAACGCAGGAGGGTGAGTGAGAAGACAAGGAAGAAGACAGCAGGAGGCGGCAGAGAGGGAGAAAAGCAGGAGGAATAAGGAGGAGGAATGGAGTGGGAGGAAGAGGAGAAGAACGGTAATGGGGATAAGGGCCTCTTTCAACTTCTGCAAACGCATCTCACTTGCTCTCTCTCTCTCTCTCTCTCTCGTTCTCTCTTTTTCCCCACATGTATAGACATATCGCTCGTACCTTGTCATAGATGTAGAGATATAGATGTGCATACCCATGAGCGGTATCAACGTGATTGCTCGATGAATGTAGATAGTGTGCCGTCCTTCTGCCGATGCATCTATACATATTTATGTGTATATATGGATAAAAATTCAGATACACAAGCACAACTATATCATGAATGCCATCTCTTCTCGTGTATGTATTCATTACGCCCAGTATGAGTTCTCTCACATCGATGGCTTCATATGTATGTGTATACACATGCAGATAGATGTGTATACTAGAAGCACGGGCGCGCTTCGCGAGCACGTAGATTCCAGCCAGCGTTGCGCCACATTGTGTGGCCATCGTCTTCGCTCGTCGGATGAGCCACATTTGGTGGCCACTGTGCGAGCTCGCGCTTATGCGCAGGACTGCCACAGCGAGGTAGCATCATTCGCACTGTCAGTTGGAAGGAGAAGGTGGAAACATGATGCATGAAGTAGGACGGCGTTCAACG